CTCAAGATCCACAATTGGAGGAAGTTAATGCTCAAAAAGAGGCTCTAGAACCTAAGACCAACCCTGAACCATCCAACCATCAGGTGCCAGTTCTAGAAGATTCACCAAGTTCTACACCATCACAGAAACCCGAGAGCATAACAACTCTTGCTGGGGCTACTGTGGTGATGTTACCCGAATACCCTCCAAGCCAAGTCTCAACCGGCACAGTCGTACATGAGGTGGAACCAACTGAGGAACCTGACTCAGAACCACCTATGCTTATTCAAGAACAGAAGGAGGAGGAAGTTTTGCCTATGGCAATAAACGACCATATCCTTAATTGTGTTGAAGACACACCTCTAGAGGAACCTGTTCTGGAGGAGATAGAGCCCACTACCTACCCCCAAGATTCCAACGTTCAAGAGTCTAAGGAGGAATCTATAGACGAAGAAATACCTAGCACAGAGGAACCAATAACGTCTATAGATAATCATGCTTCATCAGAAGACTTAGACCAAACTTTCTTTGACTCCCTACTTGACGGGTGTGATTTTGTCTGCCCGAAGGATAGTTGGAGCCAAAAGAGTTGGGATGAACTTCTGGTAAGTGACACTGAAGACTCATCCATGGGGGAAAGCACGGTCGTAATCATCAAACCACAAATGGATGGTCAGCCTGTTGGGATAAGAAAAAAATCAATCTCGCTATGAAGGCCAATGATGTGGATCAACTGAGGAGACTTCCGCCACCACCCACCTATCTAGAGTCTCCTCCTTTTATCCTGTTGCCGCCAAGCCGCAGGGACGAGTCAAGGATCCTGGACCTTGACCGAGCAACAAATCAAACAAGGTGGCACCAAAAGAGAGTCAGAAGGGCCAAACTTTATGATTCTCGGATCGGAAAGTCACGGAAAAAGTGGGTGAGCGTCGAGCTACGGACGTTAAAGAAGCGCTTAACGGGAGGCAACCCGTCATTCAAATAACTAAAATAATTAAATAAATTAAATAGTTTTATTTGTTAGTTTTTGAGGTTTTGCTTGCCGCACCATTTTTGGGGGCAAGAGTTATTTTGTTTGTTGTCTTTGCTTTTGCAGATGAGAGAATTGTAGGGCATACCTTACAGTGGGAGCGAAGAAGAGGTCTCACCTGGGGAAAACACAAGGTTTCTTCAACCTTCGAGGCTTCTTGATCCAAAAGTCCTGGTTGAAGTTGGCTACTGAGAGAATATTGACCTTATCAGTAAAGTGTCTTTTTCTCTACTATTTTGAACATGATTTGGATGCTTGATGATTTTTATTTTGGAATTTCACAACATGACTCTTAAAACCATTTTGAGAATATTTTATGCATTATTTCATATTTTCATGTTATGGTTATCTATTATTTCAATCTTCATCGTTGAATCTTGTAAGTATTGAGATAACTTAGTAATTGCATGTG